CTAGGCACTACTCTACATTGACAGGTGACCTTCATTGAAGCCCAAGTATTTTAGCCAGGCCTGCAGCCTTGTAAACAGAGCCCAGATTGTGTGGTGTTGTGTAACTGTCTTTTGTTCATGAACATGGCTCAGTACACTGCTGACCTCTTTTCAATTGGGGCCAGATTAGCATGCAGCGGTGCTGTGTGGCTCATCGCTGTGGAGGTGGAGTGCTTTTGTCCCTGGTGATAATCCCCTTGCTCTCAATGCCCCAAACCCTGGTATACGGTTTCTAAACAAGGCTGGATTATCACCACTTTTGAGAGTGAAAAATGTCGGTAATGCCCAGCAGCCTGGTCTTTTGTTCGGAGTACGGTCTTTTGTTACAGGGCCCTGTTTCCTTTGTCGGACTTCGGAGACCCCGGCCACGCATATAAACCATACGTCTTCGATTCCGGAGTCCCCAGCAGGAAGTGGTTAAGGATTCTCTGTGAGTTGCTCCAATACATTCAATAATTCTCTTACCTTCCAGTGTGTTCTGACTTAGGCTCTCCTTGTTTAACTCCTCTTCTGATACTCCCAAGATCTCACAAATCTCCTTCTTACTGTAGGGCTCAGGATGAAGTACATTCTCCACATTATCCAGCATTTCTTCTAAGGAGACTGCTAGAGCTTCTTGTAGCTTCGCAAGCACCTTGAATTGCTTCCAGTCTAGACCTTTAGACTTGGCTAAAACCTGATAGAAAGCGATTCCAAAATTGCTTGGACTTACCAACGGTCAAGCTACTGTTGCTCATAAATAAATTTCCTTGACCATGGGCCCCGAGCTGGACAAAGAGAGGTCGCTTTTTTCTTAGCAGCAGAGGCTCCTTTGGGCAGAACTAAACTTCACTGGTGCACGAGCGACTAGGAAATCCACACGTCAGGGTCACATCGCCAACAACAAATGAAACACTCCTGACCAATGCAGCTCTTTTTCAACCGATGAAGGGGTGCTTCTACTAGAGCTGAATTGACCAATTATGTCAAGTGTCATGAAAATGTGTGTGAGTGTACATCTGAAGCCATTGCAATCATGGAATCTCCACCGATTAGTCTACATGCTTTGGCTTTTTGAAGGTTTCATTTCTCCCTGTACTCAGAGTATTTTTGGTTACCACAACTATGCTACAGGTGTTCAGATCTCAGATGAAGAATTCCACGTAACAGTGTGTACGTGTACTCAGGGTGTGTTGAATCCGCAGGTAAACCGAGTGAAATAAGTAGAGATGAGTTAACTGTGGGAAAGAAATTCACAGCTTTAATCTGAAAACTAAATTTTTTTTTACCTTAATGTAACAAAACCTTCCTTGGAGCATCAAACTTACATCCTCCTGCCCACCTGAGATGTGCTATCTAATTCTTAAAACCTTTCTTAAGGCAGGTTGCTATGGCAGCTGTACCTGGGTTGCTAGGCGACACTCCACTACTCTGATATTGAAGTGAGATGTTGCAGCTTTCTGTAATTCAACACAACTATTGGAGATAACAAAAGCTACACCAGGAGGCAGTGAAACATTGGTTGCTCTGATGGGATTAAACTGTATCCACTTGGCCTGTGAGTGATAACAAAATAAACAAAATCATGTCATTACGTTTGAAAGTGAGAGTTGGTTATATATTCTTGATGTAATCTTAAACTACACTCTTCTTGAATTTGACGTAAAATTGATGACAAATTTAGTTTTTCATTAGCCCTTCAGAAAATTTATGCTGATTGTGTAATACAAGGCCCTCTAAATTTACCGTTAATTCAAGGACAAGAACTATGTTATGCACAAATATTTGAAAAGTGTTTAATGTAACATATTTCCCCTTCAAATTTCTCAGTTTTGTTTGTGTATAAAACCAATGAAGGAGGAGCTAGTTCAGACATCAGCTAGAGGCAAGTCCAGCCAATCAGCTAGAGGCAAGTCCAGTCAATCAGCTAGAGGCAAGTCCAGCCAATCAGCTGGAGGCAAGTCCAACCCATCAGCTGGAGGCAAGTCCAGTCAAATAGCTAGAGGCAAGTCCAGTCAATCAGCTAGAGGCAAGTCCAGCCAATCAGCTGGAGGCAAGTCCAACCCATCAGCTGGAGGCAAGTCCAGCCAATCAGCTGGAGGCAAGTCCAACCCATCAGCTAGAGGCAAGTCCAACCCATCAGCTGGAGGCAAGTCCAGCCAATCAGCTGGAGGCAAGTCCAACCCATCAGCTAGAGGCAAGTCCAACCCATCAGCTGTGCTAGTGTATACAGGATCGAGGTACATGTATCACATCCTCCAGCTCCATGAGTTTAAGCAAAATAAGTAATTTCCCGGTCATTTTGATTGCTCTTGTTCAATTTATTAGCTAAACATCACAAACTATCAAGTGTACTACTCACAGTCCCAGTTTCTGCCAGGAAGCAGATAGATTGGTCCATACCACCTCCCTGAGTGCCGATATAATGCTCGCATCTCATACAGATATCTGCCAACTTCCTCTGAAAAAAACAAACACATGACATAGGTAATAATTAACTACTTAGTAAATTAAAAAAGGCTTTGTCCATTAAATCTACTTCCAACTTTAGGTCAAGGAGAATGGATGAGGAACTGTAGATTTGTGCTAAGAATGGATGAGGCGAAGCCGCGCCCATCCTTAGCATGAATCTACAGTTCCGAGTCACGAACACAGAGTCCCACGAGTCTATGACGCTCTTGCTGTTACCCTACGCCTGAGTGCACACCGTTGCTCCATTCATTTATGTGCCCAGGTTTGGGCTAAGTCAAACATCGTCAGTATTGGTGCAGTCAACACCGTTGCATCAGTGCTGGATACATACTCGCTTCTCTTCCTTTTGCGCCTGGGAGTCATTGTTACATTTTTGTCATGGCAGCCAAACCTATCGGACTAAATTGAGGAATGCTATTTCAATTTCATGAGAGTACTACTGCAGTCGACACTCAGTGCTGGATATATACCTGTATTCTCTTCATCTTGCGCCTTGGAGTCATTATTATACGTGTGTCATTGCAGCGAAATCTTGCTGACTAAAACAGACACAGGACTCTATAAAATTGAGGAATGCTATATTAACCTCATGAAAGTATGGTTAGCACTTTTGGAACCAGTTTACAAACCACTCAAAATGAGCTTCAATGATACTTACCTGTTCTTATATATGAATCATTCCGAAATGTCCCCTCACTACAGATTGCTATTTCACTTGGAGAATGAGCAACTTTGGATTCAAATTACAATGCCAATTTTGGAGTTAAATAATAACATTTAAAAGTTTCTATAAAGTGCACATTTCCACCTAGAATTGTTTATAGCACTACAAATATTAGCAATACAAGAAAATTTAAGGGATAACTCTTCAAGCAAAAGTATATATACATGTATGTGCTCAGTGAGAAGCGACTCTGACAGATGTGTCACCTCAGGACGGTATGATCTTGGAACAACTAGAAGATGTACTCGACTTTGTGTCAATTCAATTAAGCTATAATCCAACATTATAAAACAAGAGTGGGCAAAACCTAGACTTAGAAATGCAGCCAAAACACATCAAATTAATTCCTTATTGAAAGGTGAAGAGAAAATTCAAATCCTTGTTGAAATTTTTACTTTACAAAGCATTGATCTTTAAAACACGAGGAATAACAACCTTTGTCATTTTCTATAGAGAAAGGCAAATGTACACAATAAGACTGTAAATATAACAAGGCCCAGTAGAATCAGTGTCACAGCAGCACTGCATTAGGTTGCTATTACTCAACCCAACCCAAGCCTCCGGTCACACATTGATGATCAAAACAGTTTGCCGTAGATTCGTAAAAATAATCTCCACTTTGAACAAAGTAGTGACGTCACAGAAATAGTTTATGACATTCTAATGCACTCTGGATTGTATGATTGCTTCGTTATTCTGCTTATTCCTTGTTTTGAAAAGCACTTAAAAGCACCTGAACATTCGCATGTAATTAAACTGCTTGCATAAGCATAAGGCTAGTGTTCTCTAACCTGCAGAAGTTTTGCGAGTAACCTGCACATGGTCTCACACTTTATGAGTAGTTACCATGCTTTAAGAGCTGCCAAAAATTCCCAAATGCACTTGCCCTGTGCTGTGCCTCCCCTTTTAATATTCTATTAGTCTCAATCAAGCTTAGAAATTGATCTTGGCGAACACTACAAGGCAAATAAACAGAAGAAAAAGGAACATTAATGTTCAAAAGTGACAGGAAGTGACCCAGGCTGAGTTTGTCCAAGGCTTGAAGGCTTGCTACTCACCTTAGGTATTTCTAACCCATTGATGTGCATTGTGACAAGACTACCACAGCAAACCAAGGCACTGGAACTAGACAAGCCAGCACTAGGAGGTATAGTTCCATCCACCAGAAGGTTCATACCAGAAGGTACGGATACACATTCCGCCTCCACAATGCCTCGGAATCCACACAGAATGTAGTTGTGCCATAGGGGGTTGGTGGGATCAATCTTAAAGTCACCGATGTTTGAGGTGAAATCCCTAAAAGGGTGTAAACAGTATCATGTCCAAGTCTCAACAAAATGAGATAAGTAAATATCAGAAAACTGTCAAGGAAATATCATGTTCAATTTTCTTATATATGCGTTGCGTTTTCCTTTATTATAAACACAGTACGTTATGCATGAAGGCAAAGTTGCTCCAAGAGGTTTAGAGCTAAAGAAAATCTGTGAACACACTGACAAAAAACTTAAGAATACGCTTTACCTGTATTCTGGGTTTGTATTTTTGAAGACTAGCATCTGATCTGAATTTGGCCCAGCAGCAATAAGGATGTCTTGTTGAATAGCCATTGGCAACACAGAATAACCACAGTAGTCGATATGTTCACCTGTAAAACCACTCACAGATCAGTGGTTATAAAAACAGGGATTTGTCGAGGGTGGTGGAGGGGCTGGACTAGAATATACTCCCTCCCAAACTGATGCTCCAGCCCCCTTTACCCAGTTACACCACAAGGGACTGTGATGTATGGCTACACTTACGAGCCAGTGGTTTTTAGATGTCAGGTTATTGCATCTTCATTTTTGGTGTGCAACGGTCAAAGACTGCAATTCACTGTCACCAGAACATATGTTGACATGTTGGGGGGCAATGTTGTATTTGAGTCCATCACAAATCCTTTCACAAGGCCAGTTACAAGGCCAGTCACAAGTCCTTTCACAAGGCCAGTCACAAGTCCGGATCCCTTCACAAGGCCAGTCACAAGTCCGGATCCCTTCACAAGGCCAGTCACAAGTCCGGATCCCTTCACAAGGCCAGTCACAAGTCCTTTCACGAGGCCAGTCTTGGGCATAAGGGTGAAAACTGACAAAAGAATGCTTTTGTCACAGCTCATGTGAATAGCTTGTGAATTGGCTTCAGACTGAAAGACTTGTGATGGACTTACAGGGACTTGTGATGGACTTACAGGGACTTGTGATGGACTTACAGGGACTTGTGATGGACTTACAGGGACTTGTGATGGACTTACATGCACTTGTGGTGGACTCAAATACAACGCTGTTGGGGGGGGGGTGCTTAACTATGGAACGATGGGCCTCTTTGATCTACCAAGATTGCACAAGCCTTAAGTCCTAGGGTAAGGAGTGCCTTAGTTTGAAGTACTTTTGGAATCATTTTTTGTTCAAAGGCTCTGTTATTAATTTTGTGCCACTTCAGTTCATTATTACACATTCAAATTACACGATGAGAACCGATACATGGTTTTAGCATACCCTTTTTAGAAATATAAGATCAAACAGAAAATGATTCCATAGGTGGTGACTTCAAAATTCCAGGGCAATATATTGAGTATGTTATATACTTGGCACATGCCTTCACTCTGTTTATACTTTTTTCTCAATCTTACCAATGAGATTGACTCGTCCTGGTGCCCTTGTGAAAAAAGCTGGCTCGGACCCAAATCTCTCAATGAACAAGTTTCGCAAGGATTTGTACCTGAATTAAACAATAGAAAACTATTAAGATTAACCATCAGCTTTGCTGGCACTATGGTGCAAATTATGGATTAAAGTAACTTCAATGGATATTTATATAATGAATATTTATATACTTACACACGTATATAACAAACTTGATTCGTGAAACTCAAACTTGACAGCATTTTTCATTCATTGTTTTAAAAAACTGGTGAAAATTCAACTCCTGTAGAGTCTAAGTAACTTTGTTTTTCAATTACAGTCAAATGAACAAAATCACATATGGCAATATATGAAGCCCTTCAACCTTCAAGCAAGAAACATAAAATGCCAAGTGCAAGGTTCATGACAGAGAGATTCACAAGTACTGTCATGAGCCTTGTGCTACGGCTAGATACTTCTTGCTATCACATGTACATGTATAAACCCTAAAATCAACCATAAAGACAAAATATGTTCAAAGTTCTTTCTTTTTTTTAAATCTTGTGATTGAGTGCATTCAGTATCACTACACATTGCCATACCTCCAGTTATCCTAAACCATAAGCCCCACCCCCATGGTTTTAGACAACAAATCTGGACAAATACTGGTCATTTCTAGTTTCTACAGGCTACATTCTGGTCAATGACCCCTGGACACGGTATACAGAGGTTCTTTTAAAAACATGATACGCCTACTGAACAACAATAAAATTAATTGCCTATAGAATCTATTTCACGAAAAGGTCAATTGGTAATGGCCACAAACATGACAAAACGTAGCCACGACCTGATGACGACTGTATCATCGGGTCCTGGTCTTTCGTCTCATTTTCATTCCATGCATTTGTTTGCTTGTTTCATTTTATTTATTTGCTTCCTACCTTTCTTTTTGTGCGCTTGGAACCTGAGTGACAATCTCAGGGCAATCTCTGGAATAATCAGCCATTTCAAGAAATCTTGTTCTTCAATTATGATGACAAAAATCAACAAAAAAAGTGCCAACACTGGCAACAGCGCTGGTTCCGCGGTGTGGACACGTTGTGACAAAGTCACGTGACCTCTTTGATCAGCTGACCTTAGTTGTTAATTTTAGAGGTCAGTCTTTATCATGATTGGATAATACTGACGAATTTCTGATTAAAGGGAACGCTCTCGTTTCTCATTGGGCATTGTTCCTGATTCAAGATGGCAGCCTTCATGTGGAGACGTGCTTTTCCATTGCTAAGAAGGGTTTCACGATTTTCTCTTCACAATTCTTGTCAGTCGACTCGTCGTTTGTATTCTGCGGGTGACACCAACACAGAAAAACAACTGGAGGTTCGCAAGGCGACATATCCCCTGATTATTCCACCAGTATATGCGAAAACGGCAGAGGCAGAAGAATACCGAAAAAAATTGATCATTCAAAGAATAAACGACAAGCCAACTGCCACGGAAATGATCCACGAATTGAGTAAGGTCCAAAACTGGCATTACACCATACACCCTTCTTGCTTTCATTACAGTTTCCTGGATTTTTATAAGCATATTGTGAAGACACTCATGGTGGAAAATCTTCCAAAGCAGACAATGGAGTTGGCAGGTACTCCTGTGGTGGAACAGTCTATGGAAATGTTGAAACCACACATCATTGATTGCATTCTTCAGGAGCAGCTCTACCTGTACAGACACAAAGGAAAATTAGCGAAACAAGAGAATGTTGCTGGTAAACAGACTATGGAGAATATAATGCGAATTTTATTGACAGGACTTGCCGGTGACTATCCACATCTAAGGGATTCGCAAATAGACCAAGATGTTCAGGTTCAATCGTTTTGGAAGCGTGAAGAGACCAGATTTCAGTTCACTGGAAATCCGTTATTTCTAATCCGAACGAAAGACCCACTTCCTGAGGTAGGATCTAAAGTTATATCGCCAAGGCTACCTATATAACATGTATGTGTCAATGTAACTGTGCATGCACAAGTTCCCTTGTACAGATACATTTAGAGTATATCAACCTAAACCTGTCATGCTATTTAGCGTCAACAAAGTGTCAACAACTTGAAAATACCCTCTAAGGATTTATAAGTGGTTTTATCATATTTTAGAGACTCTTAACACCTGGGCAATTCCACACCAAAGTGGACATGACATCAAAACATTAAAGTGATTGAAACAAAATTTGGTGTCAAATGAAAGCTAAAAGTCTATATTTTCAAGAGTTAGAAACGAAATTTTAATTTTGATGCATTTTGGTGAAAAAAATAGGATTAATTAGTAATCCTTTTTTGTCCCAAAAAAGTGATAAACAGGGATACCAAAGTTTTGATCATTACACCGACAAAAATATGTTGAAATGACAATATTTTCAGTTATTTAGAAGAACGAAAACGGATATAAACATTTACGTATTCCCTGTTTTTCGTCATTTGTTTTGTTTCAGTGAAGTTTAATATTTTATACTTAAAAAATGTCCTTCCGTGACTGAAAAATACATATGTTTAATTTCTCTTTAAAAGTTATAGTGTGAATGTAATGAAAGTTAGTTTTTAAAGTAAATTTAGGTAGGCCTACAATATGGCACTGTCACTGACACATTTGTCCTTTTTATTGATTAATTACAATTAATTAAAATTTCCTTCTGTTACTGTTTTGGTAATGGAAGGACGGTAACTGAAGGACATTTTATTTTCATTAAAAAGCTATGGTACATGTATTTATAGTGATTGGTTACAAATGAATAATTTCTGCATACATGTTATGTACATGTAGAATAAACAGAATTTGGGGGTTGCTACGGTAGTTTGTGAAGTTTATTCCTTCTGACAAGGTCTGATTGATATGCAAATGAGGGATATTCTTCTAGCCCAGGGGCCTTCGAATTGTAAAGTATAAGTAAGTCTTTGTCAACATGATCAGTGCTTCACTTGGCTTTCACTGGAATGGTATATTTATAGAGTAATTCTACCAGTGTTACATTTAAATCAAACAACTTTGAAGCAGCACTACACTGTTGCATACTTCAAACCCGTAGAAGTATTCAGATACATTACCTCTTTATGTTTCTGTGGTGCTATACCCTGCTGTACACTTCAAAGACCAACCCTGTCTTGTAAGTATAATGGTTAATTCTTTTCGTAGATTGGTCATTTTCATTGTAACAGTTGGAACACTGATAAATTTTTTTTAAGTTTTAAATTTCTAAATGTTCCAATTTTAGATTTGGTATTAAAATAGGTGTGCAGGTATATCTTTTTTAATGACTAATTTTAATCAGTTTTTTTTTATGAGTAATAGTTTAAGATGAAAAAAAAAATCTCGATTTAAGTCGATAGGCCCATTAACAGCTACATACTCTATACATGTACATGTTAGTACAGTGGTTAGTGTTGTAATGTAGCAGATATCACAGAGGAATCAAATGTGAAGGAAAATGAACAAAATTGAAAGTAATCTGATTTTTTCATTTTATAGATAGGATGGCCCAAACACAAGCTGAAAAGCAACTTGGATAAGCTACAGAGAGCAACAGAAAGCAAAGGGTCTACATGAATACAGATCAAAAGAAATTGTACATTTACTTTGTAAAATATTGTTTTTTGTGTTTTGATGGCGAGTTTAAAAGTTTGGTACGCTGTACATGTATTCATGAATGTTGATGCAAGCCTAACTACAAGTGGCTAGTAATGACATGTATATTTAAATAACTGAAAAATGTTGAACACAGGGCTTTATTAGGCTTAGATTTCACATTGCCTTGCACATAAAAAAATGCTCTTTTTGTATCAGTAGTATAACATCACATTTTGTGCATGTTACGTGTATAATTGAGTTATCCTTTTGTCCTTTCCTTACCATCCTTCCGTTACCAAATGTTAATCCATTTACAGCATTACATTTTAATAATCAAAACAAGTAAGTGTGGCAATAGAATGGAGACATTTGTTTGATGTGAGTAATTAAAAGTTTTGTGATAGGCTTGTTTGAAATTTGTATAAGGAGTCAAATTGTCCCTCTGTTGCAAGAAAACACATTTATTTTGTGATGTACATGTATGTGGGTGGCCATTTTTTCCTCTGCCATTTACGCGAAAGTAAGATGGCAGCCGGTTGGGCTGCACGAGTTGGCCTATCTTTGTCACTCAAATTTCCACACTCAAATATCATTTTAGATAAATGTGATACAGTGAATATAATATGTAGGAACCTAATTAATATTGAAAATATAATTTTTTTTGCACAAATATGCTTGAATAACTTGTTGATGCTTTGTTGACACTCATTGACGCTAGTTGACACTAAATAGCATGACCCTGTTCAAGTTCCCTTGCCTTGATACATTTACAATATGTCAACCCTAACCCCCTAGCGTGGATGTAAAATCAAATTGAAGTTTGAGGATTCAGGAGTTAGGGTGATTAGATTGTTTGTGTCTTTCATTGACTCTCATGCCATTTTGTGTTCTTTATAGTTCATTAGCAAAGAGGATGAGCTTTCTGTTGGTGAAGTACCATTGTGGTCCTATGCACCTGAGAATGTCAGTGTCTTCAAGCAACACATTAACCCTGTGTGCTTTCCTGGTTAGTACATGTATATTAACATAGGGTAGGCCTATCTTGAGAACACTTAACCTGACAGTCAACCTATAATAAATGCATCGGTCGGACTATTCTGTCCGACCCCTATCCGATAAGAATTTTGAAATGGTGTCTAAGACAATATTGGTTGTAGGCCTATGAAAGTTTCTTGTATATTTAAGCAAATGTCAGTTTGAAGTTCTAGCTGATTGAAACAAAACTCTTAAAAAGCTGAAAAATCAGGATCTACATGTACATGTATGCTGAGTTAGTTTTTCTTGGATTAGCCTGGTGATGCTCAATTGGACAATACAACTGCATACTCTTATTTTTATTTCTGACAGGATTTAAAACTGGTAATCCATTCACCTATGGTCATACTCAGATCTACACGTCTACATTCAGTCGGACAAGATGCGCTAAAGATCAAATTTTAGAAGAGGTGTTACAAGGGTTTGGAATGTCATCTTCATTTGGATGGCTGAATGGCCTAGCGTTGTATCAGAGTAAGTGTTGACTTTCATACTGTAGTTACTCTTTTCAAAATTTGAGTTTGCCCTGGACACTTGTGTTGAAACATTTCTTTAGAATGTGAATTATGGTTGCGTTTTGCATCTTGATAATTCAGGAGTTCTTTATAAGGTGAATATCTAAGATAAATTCTCTTTTTTGTATTTGTCAACAGTGAATAATCCTTACAGAGACTTGAAACATCCAATGACCTGTCAGACAATTGTCACAAATGGTTGTCAGTTTTCATTCTTCTGTTATCAGCTGAATACCATGGGACTGTCCAGTCAATCAGCTGATAATCCATTGCGTAATGTTTGCTGGTACAGTCCGGACATGAAGCTGTATGGAGACATACAAGATGGAAGGATCATAGACTTCAATAATGACGTCCTGAAACTGGTTATTGCCTTTTTGTTGAACCGAACATGCCCTTTGGAAGAATAACTAAACACTTTGAATTGTCCATTGTCCAATGGTGAGCAAGTGCTTTCTTCTTGCACAATGAACTGAACCTATCTTTTCAAAGCACAGGTAAATAATTGCACTCTACAATTTCATGAGAATTTTTTGGAAAAAGCTATACCGGTATTATTTATAAGCATTTCATGGTTCAATGTTTCTTCAGCATTAATGAGTTGATTTGTTTGAAACTCTCTAACATATCCACTATTGTAAGTCAGATAGATCTTTTTCTGGTGTTCTTTTGAATTTACAAACTTGTTCATCTTCTGGTTATAATTACATAGACATGTGCATCCATAAAATATATCTGCCAGGTTCTTAAATGCAATGAAAAGATTTTTGTCTTTAACTCTAACCCCAAAGGATGTGCCAACAGTCACTCTGAAATTGGGGGATTCTTGATCTTCCTTTGTAGGCTGTATTCTAAGCAGGTTGCAGAAGATAGAAAGGTTGTTTTACTTCAGGTGGTTACAACTTTATGTTCAGTGTCACGTTGGGTCTAATGTCAAGAGTGACATTGCATATTATTAACACAAGATCCTCATGCTAACTATTTTGTGACAAAATCTTCACCAAGTCGTGAAGTTTTATTTTGTGAGTTTGTCAACAAAGTGAAATGCTAAAGATTAAAATATTAGACCTAACCTTTTCTGCATAAACATTTTCACAATCCAAAACGGATTGTAGGTGACATTGTCTGTTCAGAAAACCAGGATTTATGTCAAAACCTTCCTTGCACACTGTACTTATTTGTATGCGCTATAATGTTGCCATTTGTGAGTAGCGTATCGAAACCATAGACCTCCATAGTTGTTAGTAATGTTAACAATAAATTGTGAAAACAGACGCACTCATCAAGACTTCTGGTTGGCTATTTCAGGTAGTCCGTTTGGTACAAGTGGTATTTTGAATAGCGCCCTCATAAGTGTGTGTGGATTAGGCACTGCCTTTACTGATGAAATGGCCTTTGGTTGACACTCCTTGTGTTGACTCGATAGCGCCCCAAGCAATGCAAGAACGAGTCAGTGTGGTCATGCTGGTGGTTAAACGTGCCAAGACTAAGTAATGATGAAGCCATACGTATGTTTACGCTGAATACAGATTTTAGAGGTTCGATTTGCATTCTTAAATCGGGACACCGTGGGACACCTTTAGTTCTTTCTCAAAGTCTGTTGAAAGAAATAATTGGGGAAAAAGAAATTTTTATTTATTTATTCATTTGGTTTGGAGTGTCGTGCTTCGAGGATGGCTACATCAACATATTCAAGGGAAGAGTATGTAGGGTATCTGTATACATATATCACTCCAAACGTTATGGATTTTGAACTCTGGGACAGCTTGCCCCAGTGGCAACTAATTTGAAATCTGTTTGCAAACGGACTCCATTTGACTCTACTCGGCTAATTCTATTCCTTACCGATTCCTTTATGTCATGTTGTGTGTACTTTGAGCTTTTACTTAGGCTGCTTACCGATCTGTGCCCTGTCTTCCCTCGAGGGACTGCAAACAGTCTCTTGACGTAGCATGTAACATCATGGTAAATACCTCACTACTTCGCCATAGTTGAAGTGCAGACCAAACACCCAGTAACAAAAAAGAATCACCTCAGGTTCTTCTGGACTTGAAATTCAAGGTTGCAATTCCAATTTGTGCACAATAACGCAGTGTAGATTTTTAAACAAAGACATGTTCACGTCGTTTTAAGTTGGAAATGTATTAATGTACAACTGGCGTCTTATTAATTAGCATACTCGTATTCTGAGGTAATTCTTTTTGGGGGGGTCCAGTTCCAACTGAAATAGGCAAAATTTGTGGTCACATGCAGTTTGAATGTTTGGCCTTTTATCTGTTGTGGGGCAATTTCCAGATTTGCGTAGTGGATCCATATCCCATCGTGATGCTTAATATTCCATTCCAGCGGCTAGCCATCACCGGGACGTCCCTCGATGTAGGACTGGAGTAATTTTCGGATCATGGCATTTCAAGGAGGATTTTTGGAGTCAGTGTGGAAAGCGACAATCCATCACTATGTTACGTTGAAAAGGTCACAGGATATTGACTGCGAATTTCTGGGGCAATGATTTCATTTTAAACACAGCTATATTTTGAGAAAGATTCTCCAAGGATCGAACCGTCAGTCCCTCCATTTGTGATTTGTATTTTAGGTCACTGTAGTCAGCAAGCAGTTTGGAGCAATTTTTCTGTCCTTTTTATGTTAATTCTTCCTGTAACTACTCTCACGGATAAATCGAAGAAAAAGAAACAACACATCCATCATTCCTTTTCTTCATAAAAGACAGATCAAGAGTCAAATTTTCGGGTTCAAAATTTTTCTCCACACATGCCGCGTGACATTTTCTTGTAATCTGTATGGGTTCTCTCAGGTATGTGCTAAAGTTGGAGCCTTGGCTGGAAACGAAGTTGTCCCCCGCACTGTCATTATTTTTCGTGGATAGACCCTTTTACTCACCCCGAACTACACAATAATGATCAGTCAGTTTTTTGAAGTTTGCGTTTTATGAAGATAAAGTTTTACAGCATGTATGCCCTGTGTCCAACCTCGTTCAGTGTACTGACTTTTCTCCGTAATATCCACATTTTTAAAATCTTTGCTGGGTTACCACTTTCAGTGTGCGAAGCAGATATTGAGTCCAGCGAAGTTTGTTTACAAGTTAGACATTTTATGTTGAAGTAGCTCGTTTAATCGTGGTCAATCTAAAGTCTTGACATTCGTTGCACATGACTGTGTGTCTATCGGTAGGGGAGTTTACGTCTGTGAAGTAATGACACTATAATGTAGACAGGTTGCACATGTTGCATATCATATGACAACAGCTGTTTTGTATTATTAAATAAAACCCGAAGATGTAGTTTCCTTAAAGATATGTCAATCTTTATTTTGATGCCATGCAAAGAAAAAGATTATTTTTCACCGAACATCTTCAACCCCTAGGTGAACAAAAAATGAACAGAAAAGCTTTTACCGATCATGTGACTGTGTTGTCGGTACCTTAAGGCGCGCCATCCAGCTGAAAATTTGCAAACTAATTTTAGCAGTTCCCAGGGTTGTCCGTAGGCCAGTGGCGTAGTAAGGATTTTACTAGGGGGGACCAGCTTTCAATGATGTGGCTTTGGGGCAAGTTTTTGTTATCCCTGGTCTACGTCTATTCATCCATGTTTTTTTTTCAGCGGGGGGCTCCTGGGGGCACCGAGAATTTGTGGGGTGGGGGGCACGTTGTAGGACTCAAATTTTTATTTAGCTCCTGTTTCAATTTGCGTTAATTGCCTGTTTTTGCAATGTAAGAAATGATTGAAAGCCAAGGCCCCTTGATAATTTTGTCTCTGGTATACCTATAATGTCTGCAATGGAGGCAAACATTATATGTAGCAACTTCTCTTTTGAAATATTGTCATTTGGCTGAATAAGCTCTTATGGACATTTTAAAACAAGATATGGCCGAAAGCCTGTTTTAAAAGGCAGCCTAAATAAAAAAGGCAAAGAAAGAAAAAAGAAAAAAAGAAATTATGGAATGATGATGGAATGATGATCTTTAGCTTCAAGACAAACAGTGTGAAGTAATTGTGTGGGTCCTCATATCTGTCTGCGGTTTGTTTGGCAGGGAAAGAGATTACCTCCAAAGGAACCTGACAAAAGTCCGTTGGCGTGAAGTTGTGGCAGAAAGTGGGGGATTGAAGATTTGTTGGGGAGTGACTTGCCCGGCCATGGAAATTTGAAGAGCGAGGGGGGGGGCACGCATGGCACTTTACATGTATAGAGAGCGATGTTCATGATACAGATGTACATATATACATGTACATCTGTAATAATTGAATATGTATTACATGTACATTCGTGCAGAATCTTACATCAAACGGCATATTGAGGATTTTTTGTTTTCCGTTTTTGGGTGATACTGAATACAGTTTAGTAATTGGGAATTCCGAACAATTCCTCACTATCTGCTTTACTTTTCTGATTACATCGAAATCGTAGGGAAATGATTCAGCCCATCTCTCACCTCACAATGTGGGAGATTCGAATTTTAGAATTTTAGGTACACAAAGCAATAATAAGCGATGGGACATAATCACAGTTACTCCCACAATATGATTATACTATTGTGCAAACCAGACCTGAAACCGACTTCGGGCCGGACCAGGTAGGGTCGTTTTCCCACAATTTCAGTAGGATTTACGTTTGCAATTTTTCTGGGTCGGGTCGGCTAAGCAATCTCGATTAAAGCCCGAAATAAATCAGGTGTATTAGTACTGCATATTAACAGTGACTGGTATGACCGAGATGAGTGGTTTTTTGGCCTACACAATAAATTTCTGTCCCTCAACCTGCACTTTCGGTTGGTTTTGGATTTGGTTCGTGTCGGTTTAGCTTGTTCAGTCCCACCCAATGCACAATATTAATTGATTAGATTATATTAGATATGCAAGACATGTTTTGTAAAAATAATAATACATGTAATAATAAGTGAATCAGCATCAGGCGTGGTAACGTAATGTTCACAATTTGAAACTTTTCTCCTCATTTCGAGATTCTGGACCGACTAAGAAATTGTTTCTGTTCATGTTAGAAATGATTACAACTCATAGTTCCTCTTCCATTCTGAACGAGTGTAGTTTGTCTTTTTGTGTTTATTGACCGGGTGGGTTTAGCCATGTGAATCGAGTAAGCAATTTTCAAGTCAAATCTGATTTCTGTTAGGTGAAAGGCAGGAGCAGCAAGCCGACATTAACGCGACATCACATCAGTGTATGCAGTGATTTTTAATTGAATGGAATTAGTTGGCTTATAATAGGTTCTATAAAAGGCTTACGGCCTATAAAATGAATTGTTTGAATGAATAGTTGTCTTTGCCAAACCGGCATGTGCGTTATGGTTTCTATGTCGACGATGCCAATTGGTGCTCGCTGCATTTGACCATAAATTTTGACAATTCTGGTACGGCCAGTGGAGGCAAGTGCTAACGTGGTGCTAAACAGTTAAATAATTGAATGACATCATCCCCTAAAATATTTCTTTAAAAAGGTGTGTTTATGATTAGACTTTGTTATAATCCACTAGGCAATTAAATGCTGTCTATACCGAGGGGATGAACTCTTGTATTTTTAATTTTCACATTGCACTGAGGTTGATGTATAGACCAATCCTGGTCTGAATGCTCGTGGGAAATACATCCAGCGTAGCTGTGTGATTCTTGGACACAATCATAAACCTGATGGAAATCTCCAGATTATATTGACTGTGTTCTGTTCTTGACTTTTTTGCCTCAAAACTCCAGATGTGCGTATGGAGTGATATATATGTATAACCATAGAGGAAGGACGCAGACGGAGTTTGAACTGCCCGGGCTGTAACATCTAGCCAATTACCGCTTTCTAGCATGCCTGGTATGTCCATAGCCAGAGCGTAGCGAACGTTTGCTACGCACCATCTGTTCACAAACACGAAACCCCTTTGTACCGTATGATCGCCGCCGCACTTTGTCGCTGGTAATCCACATCCTTAAAACTTGGTGTACTGCGGTATAGGAAATTGAACATTTATGCCTTTGTTGGTGCTTGGTATGATCTCATGACAACATCAAATTTAATGCCTGCGAAGTTGCTTGCATTATTCTGTGGTACCCCGCTAAATCTATATGTGCAGTCAATGCCCTAAATGAGCCCTTTCTTCTGGAGTTATTTTGGGAATAAATAGCCCGGTTGTTTACAAGATATTGTGTTTTGTTATGGCATTTGTACAAAAGCGTATTTCATGTGATTTAACGATAATCACTCCCTGTGATGAGATAGTGCATTTTGTCCCTAATGAACTTAGTTTTCCAGTTGTAGTCAACAT